AAGGTTTGAACCCAGCGGTGCTCTACCATTAAGCTACATCCCTAGCCTGAATACCTATGCTTAGTTTTTAAAAATATTGCCAACTATGAAAGCTTCGTAACAGCAATAGACAATATAACTTAAGGTACTATACCACAAGGCGCATCAAGCTTTAGCTTTAGGCCATGGTGGTTGTGGTGGCAGGGTCCTTCAGGCTATATTTCCAAGATTCCCTGGCTAGCTGGTGTTTGTCAGTGGGAGAATGAAACCAGGAGGAAGGGCAATTCTCTCTGTAACCAGGCTTCTTCTCCCGTTTCCAATTCCAATTCTTCCACTTTGTATTCATAAACTATTTGTATCCAATTCCCTACACCGAATCCCTTTCTGCTACAAATATCTTGAGCTGTTTCTGTTTCCAAGAGAGACAGGGAATGACGAGTCATATTTAAAATGGTATTGATAATTTCCATTTTAGAACAGCCAATCTCGTTCTAAAGAGGATCTGATTCCTCTAAGGATCTGATTCCTTTACCCTTCTTGCTACTTTATAGAGTGACTGACAGAGATCATTTTGAAGCAAGAGAAGTATCAGTTTTTCCACTTTTTTATTCACATGTATTTGCTTTATTGGCATTATCTACAGTTTCTTTGTGGAAATTTTTTAAAGACATCTGCTCATTTTTGAGATTGAGTTTAATTAATAAAAGGTATTATAACCTATATATCTCAGAATTTAGTACCATATACAAAAAGCTGAAAACAAATAAAAATGTGTGGGCACCACAGTTAATTCCTCTGTGCTGTACTATCTCTACTCTTTTGCTAAAAACAACTGATTTTAGGAAGTACATAAGGGTTTGTATAAAGCCAATTCCTGTGGTAAGTATTTTTAAAACTTTTCCCTTTATAAGATGAAAAACAAGATAAATGTAAGTTCTAATGTTTTCCCCTTACCCATTGGGTTCTCTTGTAAACCCTGCTTTGAAGATCCCATTTTTTTCTAAAGTTTGTTTTCCCTACTTCAGAGGATGAGGAAAGGGGAATTGGTGTTTAAATGCTTGCAAAATGCAGGATTAAATAAATTCCTGAAGGTTTCTTTTATTCCCCCACCCCCACCCCGTTTTGTAGTGTTGAGGATCAAACCTAGGGTCTTCTACAGGCTAGGCATATTCTCTGCCACTGAGCTATATCCCAACCCTAAGAGTTCCCAATTTTTAAATATTAAAATATAGGTGTCAATTTTGCAGGGGGAAATATTCAGAATCTATAAGTTCTTTTAACATGAAATCCCTCTATTCAACCCCTGTCCCCTCCCCCCCCCCCCCACACACACCTTAAGGAGACTCTAACAAATCAGTGTTTCAAAATACTTTGGAAAATGCTGACTTACATGAACTGGTTTCAGTTTCTGAAACTTAATGAAAGAGGAGGCAAGGCCACAGAAACATAAGGGTCATCTTCTCATAAAAGGAGGGTTTGCAGGATAATGCTTTCAAGGAAGGGGTGTTCTAAAAGATAATGCTGATTATATAATTCTTTTGGCCTAATGTATGCTTTCTGAATGGCAAGTATGGTGGGTATTATGACACAGACAGTATGTGAACTAAAGAAAAAATTTTAACTCAGTGCTTAGAATAATTCCAAGTACAAAGTAGGAGTTCATATATCTGTATAGTCTCTATGTATATGCAAATTTCTCCATATGCCATAGGTGGGTGAAAATTTTTCTAGGTGTAAATGCAAGGAAGTTTCTTTCTAATCAATGTAAAGATAGGGTTAGGGTTATACCTTGGTGGTCAAGAGCTTGCCTAGCATGCACAAGGTCCTAGGTTTGGTCCCCAACACTTTTTTAAAAAAATATTTTTTTTCTTAGTCATAGATGGACAAATATCTTTATTTATTTATTTTTATGTGGTGCTGAGATTCGAACCCAGTGCCTCACACATGCAAGGCAAGTGCTCTACCACCGAGCTACAACCCCAACACTTTAAAGAAAAAAGATATACTTTTGCAAGTACATATACAATTTTCACCCTCTAAGTTTTGAAGAAATCTCTACTCATTTTTATTCTGAAAATTGCATCCAAAGAACCATAAACATTAAAATGAAAGAATAGGCTTCATGTTTTTACACTTTGCAAAACTTTGTAAATATAATATTGGGCTTAAAAATTTTCATTAAAAATCTTGATTATGCAATGTCTAAAACATTCCTGATTAACTATGTTATTACTCAATCTTTTAAAAAATCAGTGTTTCCTTCTGATATATAAGAAAAGTTTCATATGCTTTGTACAGTAGGCATTATACTATAATACTGAATGTTTTCAAAGCTGTGCAGGTGCTTCTACCCGTTCAGATACACTCCCATAGAAAACAATTACTAAACATTTATTCAAATGCAATGTAATAGATTATAGTCAATTTTTGACTTTATGTAAATGAAATCTTAATCAAAGATTATTATGTGACTCTTTACTATAACGACTCTTGTACATGACAACCTTCACAAAGGTTCGTGCCTTGAAATGAAACATCAATATTAAAGGCTGACAAGGAGTTCAGAATACAAAGCATTTGGACTTATTTACATTTGTTTTTGAGAGAAGACAAACCTTAGACAGCTGAGGTAGGGTGCCATCCTGGCCATAACACTTAGCTTTCCCCCTTTGCATCCTAATAGAATTTTACCGCTTATGATAACAAGTCAGACAATCCACACGCACTGTGACAATTCTAATAACTCAAAAAAGACTTTAAAAAGAGGAAAATTAGAATAAAATCACTCTAGTTCCTACCATCCCAAACCAATGACGTCAGATATTTCACCAATCTCCAATTCTGGATATTTGTTTCCAGTGTTTTTCTATCTTAAACAACATAGAGAAACATTACTGTACATACATTTTTTTTGACATTTGTTTTACTATTATAAATTCCTATATTCAAGATTGCCAGTCAAAGGACAAATCCTTTTAAATAGTACTTTTGATACAAATTACTAAAATTCCCTCCAGAAAGGTTACATCTCTTCACAGCCTATGGAAAGTGCTATTTATCTTATCCTCCCTGTGACAAAGAGTGGAAACTGTATATAGAAGACTGGCCCATAAGAGAAGAAGAGTGGAGTCAAAGGTTATAGGAGAAGCACACCATGAAGAAGAAAGGCAAAGACAAATAAGACCTACATTATTTTAGTTTTCTATTTCCATTAACTCCAGGAAGTTATGTGTACAATTATGTACAGCATAGCAACATTTCAGTCAAGAAAATACCATGTATATGACAGTATTATACAGCCAAAGGATGCAAGCTATACCATTGAGGTCTGTGTAGTACCCTTTATATGTCTGCACAATGATCAAACTGCCTACCAACACATTTCTCAAAACATCTCAATCAGACATTGCATAACTGTGCACCCAACTAGGAGTAGAAAAGGCAGAAGAGGACGAGAAGCAGATTCTTATCTACACCCGACAGAAAAATACCTCTCTTGTATTATCTGACACTATTGTCTCCCTTTACCTTCCTGGTCTTCTTTAGTTTTTTTTCCCCCATAAAGCATAACAAAAAGCTGTGCAGCTGAACTGTGGACTGCCTTGTCTAATCTAATCAGTGCAGCAATTTTTTTTTTTTTTAAAACATCTGAATGTCTCCAGAAGGAATAGGTGTACACAGTTCTTACACTCCCCAGCATTTGCCTTCGTAAGCCTCAGTCTTCTGCTCAGTTACATGCCTGTTTAGCCCTGGAAGCTTTTGCTATGTCTCATGCAAATTAACCACTAGAAACTTAAATACCATAAAGTAGTATTTTGGCAAACACTGTTCTGTGGTACTTAATAAGTCTGGACACCTAAGGTCAGTTTTAAAAGAGGTTTTCATTCTTTCTATGCTCAGTATCAAAAGGGATCTTAAGCAACAAAGTAGGATACAAGAGTTCAACTGTTAACTGCTACTTGACTTGACCTTCATCGAATCATTACATTTCTTGGGCTGGGGTTGTGGCTCAGAGGTAGAGCACTTGTCTAGCACATGTGAGGCACTGGGTTGGATCCCTAGCACCACACAAAAAATAAATAAAGTAAAGGCATTGCGTTCATCTACAACTAAAAATGCATACATTTTTAAAAAAACATTACATTTCTTCTTGCATTACAGGTACTTCAAACCTCCAAACCTTAGCCGTTTTAGCATTGTTAATCCTGTGGCAATAATCATGGTGGTTAAGAGCTTGATTCTTAAGCCACACTATCTAGGTTTTACATCTGGAATGATTAACGACTGTGTGACCTTAAATAAGCTAACCTCCTTGAGTCTCAGGACCTCAACTATAAACTAATAATAATAGTGGTAGTTACTTCATGGGGTAGGTATGAAGATTATGTGTCACCAGTTATAAAGCACTCAGAAGTGTAAACACCAAATAATATGCCAGTATACATAATATATAAGTATTATTATATTATACATTATATATAAGTATGTATAAAATATACTTTAATAAAAAAGGTTGAAAACATATAAGCAGTCCCCCCTTTGCACAGCAGTAAGAGATAGTAAAAATACCTGTGAGCAAAGTGATCTTAATTATCATTGAGAAAAATTACTGTTGTTCCAGGACATTTTAAAATTTCTGAATGATATTTAATTTTTTAAAAAACATTGATAGATAATAAGTGTACACATCTATGTATGACCTTTAATTTTTTTTGTCAATACATTAAGATCTCATATGAACAAATATAAAGGTATAGAAAAATGGGGGGGGCACAAAAAAAAAAAGAATATCAAGAATACTTTGAACAGTGGTTGTCTTCTTAAGGTGTGGCTTATGATATAGGGCAAGCTGTTTTCTATGCTTAGCAAATTGTCATATTCCTTACTATGTCTGGATTAGGTATTCAAGCACCTGAGGGTAAGGCTTATGACTGATGAGTACTTTCAAAACCTAAGAATCTATAATACAGAAAAGAATAAAGACATAACACTGAATAAAGAGAAACATGCAGAAAACTTACATTATATTGATGATTAGCAACAGGCTTGTAATTTGTTGTTACAACTTTCTCCAGTTGTTGCGATAGCCTTACAGGTTTGGAAGATTCTTCTATTTGCAATCTGAAAAACAGAAGGCATTATATACACTTATTTGTTTAGCAGAATGAAACCTGAAGACTTATTTCTGTAATTCTTATTCAATAAATACCAATTAATGTATAAACCTCAGATTATTATACTACCCTTACTAGAACATTCAAAAACCACAGTGAAAATATATGACTATTGTGTTACTTCATTAGTCTATAACTTACTTTTAATCCTATATTGTACAGGCAAATCTTAACTACTAAAAACCAGAAACCAATCACCTGAAAATTTCTGAAAACCAACCAATTAACCAACCAACCCTACAAGTAAAAATAAACTATATAAACTAAAATTAATCAAGTTGCTAATTCAAAATTTCCATTTATCTAATTAGAAATAAAGGCTAACAAAATGGAATAAATCAGCACCTAAGGTCTAGTATCTAGTAATCAGCACCAAAGGTCTCATTGGCTAGTACAGATACAGAACATTTCGGTGATTACAGACTTCTAAAAGATACGAATGGTCTAAAACTACTACAGGACTACATCCAAATTAAAATATAATTTGAAATATTGCCTTTGAGAAAACAGCCATAAAATGCATGACACCGTGTATAGCATATTATAAAACATAATACCTGAACATACATCTTCAAGTAACAGACTTAGGATATTTTGTTTGTATTAAATGTGGAAAGACACATTCAAACATTTATTTCTTACTTTAAGAGTTAAGAGAAATTCATTTGCTAATCAAAAAAACTGTTTTAAGAGGAGAAAAGTGCAGCTTAAAAAAAAAAAAAAATGGTGGGGCCAGGGTTGTGGCTCAGTGGTAGAGCACTTGCCTAGCATGCATGAGGCACTGGGTTGCCCAGCACCACATAAAAATAAACAAATAAAGGTATTGTGTCCATCTGCAACTAAAAAAATTTTTTAAAAAAGGTTTCACTGTATCTTTGGATTTCTCATCAGTAGGGTATCAGAATATAAATATGTAGTATATTTAAGAAAATGCTCATAGGTAGCTAATTTGTAAGTAAAGTGCAAGAATGAAATAAAAGTATTTTTGGACAAAACCCTTAAGACATTTACAGATCATCCTTAAAAGAATTATTGAAAGGTTTACTTTTGGGTGAAGGAAAATAAATCCAAAAGGAAGGAGTGGGATGCAATGGTCACAGCAAAGAAATTGAAAAACATGTTAGAAAATTGCCTACTTAATAAAAACAAAAAGAAAGCATCTTTTTTAAAAAAAGGTGAAATTAACATGAAAGATGAAAAGGAAGAGATCAGTATTAGTGCATTGTAAGATTTCTGTATGTTTTCTAAACTTTCTGCAATAAGCATCTATTACTTTTATAATAAAAAAGGAAGTATACCTAATAAATACAAAATATCATTATTTTTTGGATGGTTAATTTGAAAGCCATAAAATGTTGGTCATTCAAAAATAATACATGCTCAAAATTGTATATTATATAAAATTTGACTCAGACTTTAAATTCATGGTTCAACAGAACAAGTACTAAAGCTAATTTTCATTTAAAATTCAAAAAGACACCTCGAAGTACAAAAAGTACCTATTTTAAAATGTTCTTACTAAATACGGATAAAGATAAATCATTTTGGATGAAGATAATTCTCTATTCTGTTTATTTTTAGGTATATAACAGCAAAATACTGAGATACTCAATGTATACCAACTATTTTTTATATATGAAATTTACATTATTAGGTATTAGGTATACTTTACCATGAAACCCAAATTCAGTATACTTATTTCTATATGGAAATGTAAATATTTAAATTCATTCATTTATTAATCCATACTTAAGCTTTAAATGATTATTTTATAAAATGTTAAAAAAATACTCTGGAAATATCTTCAGAAATTTACCGGATATGCAATCATAAATAGTAAGTACTATATTACTTTTGCCTTTCGTATGTCACACATATTTTCTAAAGAATTTTTTTGTAGCCACTGCTTCCTGACTCAGGTCCATGTGGCATACTTTCCTTTACAGAAAAATTCTTCAGCAATTCTAAAAGTCAGTTTCACCATCCAGACTGGCATGATATATGTAACCTCAAAATATTTAATCTTTTAAATAAAGAAAAACAATGATCATTGCTTTAAAATAAAGAGCTAATATAAAAATTCAACCTTTGCATTGTACTTCAAAAAAGTCAACTTCAAGGGTTTTGTTTTAATAAAAAGAGGGCATCTTATGATTACAAGCTCAAAAGGTTAGGAACTGAAAATACAGCCTATTTTTCAAGAACCAAATCTTAAAATACCTTAATTAACCTTGACTGGTTTAAAATAATTTAGCAGGTTCTTTAATTAACACTAAATAATTCATTTAACATTATCTCATGAAGTGTCAGAACAATTTGCAACTCCATTTCATCACTGAACAATGTACTAAATTAAACATTACTGACCTCAACAGGCTTTCAAAGTCAAAAGAAGGTTTACCTGGGTTTATCAGAATAATATGATTTGGAACTATCTGGTTTGCAAATCAGAATAGCCAAACCACATACAGAGGTGCTGGGCTGAACTGCAAGCAAGCTAAGAGTCCTGACTATTTTTTAAAATGGGCTTTGACTTTTGCAGAAAATTTTAAAATTTTAAAAGCAATATTCTGTGGTCACTTTGTTTTACAAATCTTCTAAAAAGTTTTTGGTGCTGATTCTTAGCATCATTATGAATATGAATATACATATTCATAGAAGGTTAGGATTTAACTGTATCTTTTTACATTTTCCATAGTTGGAGACAAAGTGTTTGGAAATATACATTTATGAGATAAATGCTGTGGCATCATAAATCATACTTATTTTGTCAAAGCATAATATTTTTAAGTATTAAAAATTAAATAGGTTTGAATATGGATGCATTCTAAACACAACTTTATTTCTTTAAAAAAAAAACTTAATTTAAATTTTAGGTAACTGAGAATTATATTCTTGGAAGCTCAAGTTGGTGAAGTTTGCAAATAGTCTCTAAATTATTTGCCTGAGTTGTAACAGCAAACACACTAAACACTTGAGAGAAAATTACAGGTATCTATCTTATACCATAGATTATATTCAGGAAGCTTAACTTTATTTATTTTAGGAAGCTTAAATTTAATCAGAGAATTTTAAAGTAAAAAAGTGACCAGACCTGTGTTTTTAAAATACTCCTCTGACTACTGTTTGCAGGATGGTGTGGAGTAAACATGGAGCCGAGAAACTAGAAAAGCTACTGTCCTAATACAGAGGAAAAATAATACTCATTTGGATGAGGGTGATGCTAAAGAGGTAAAAGTCAAGTTTAGCAAATTAAGAAAATATTTTGAAGAGAGATTCAATAGAAATTGTTCAACTGAACTTGGGTACAAAAGAGGAAGAAAGGCAGTAAGAATAATTGGGCTTAGATTTCTGGCTTGAGCAACTATAACCCAAGAAGAGGGGTCAGACTGTGTTACTATAAAACTGATAGAATTCACTTTACTAGAAAATCTGTATATGAGATGCTCCTTTTACTCTGCTACTACAATTGAAAAAAGATAACTGAAAAACTAACACCTTCTATCTTAAATTCTTTTTTTAAATATTTTTTATTTGTTTTAATTAGTGACAGTAGAATGCACTTTGATACATTATATATAATGGAGTATAATTTCTCATTCTTCTGGTTGTACATGATGTAGAATCACACAGGTTGTATAATTATATATGTACATAGGGTAATAATGTCTGATTCATTCTACTATCTTTCTTACCCCCATATCCCCCCTCCCCTCCCTTCACTCCGCTCTACCTAATCTAAGGTAACTCTTTTCTTCCCTAGTCACCCCCCAACCTTGACCCCACCACATTGCGAATTAGCATCCACATATCAGAGAAAACATTCGGCTTTTGTTTTATGGGGGATTGGCTTATTTCACTTAGCATGATATTCTCCATCTCCATACACTTACTGGCAAATGCCATAATTTCATTCTTCTTTAAGGTTGAGTAATATTCCATTGTGTGAATGTGTGTTTGTGCGTGCCACATTTTTTAATCCATTCATCTGTTAAGGGACACCTAGGTTGATTCCACAGTTTAGCTATTGTGAATTGAGCTGCTATAAACACTGATGTGGCTGAGTCATTGTAATATGCTGATTTTAATATTTCTTAATCAGCAAGTTTTACATAAAGATATGAGTTACTCTCTATGCCTCACACTTAACATTAACATAGATTCAAACACCTAATGTTGAATGGCACCAAGAGCAACTCATTTCTCTGGACAAGAAATAATGACAAGAGAAGTTGTGCTCTACTTGTGTACAGTTTTATGTCAAAATGCAGTCTACTGTAAGATATACTGATTAATTAATTTTAAAAAAGAAAAGAAATAATGACTAACAATTACTATCACTGTATAACTTGGGCCACACAAAATTATTTAGCTTTTTTACTATTTAAGGGAATAGTCAAAATCAACTTCACTGAATTCTGAGTTTAATATTATTATTTAAAGAGTCATTAAAGTTGGATACAGTAGCACATGTCTGTTATCTAAGAAACTCGGGAGGCTGAGGCAGGAGGATGACAAATTCAAGGACAGTCTTAAAAAGATCTTGTCTCAATTTTTTTTTTTTTAATTTTAAAGGACTGAGATGTAGCTCAGTGGTAAAGCGACTCTGAGTTCAATCCCCAGTATCAAGTGGGTGGGGAACTAAATAAAAATAGAGAGCATTATCTCCTATTTCTTCCCATCAAAGAGAAAGTTCACAAGGCCATGTAACCAAAGAGCTAAAACACCAACAAACTGATAGCACATGAAAACAGACATTTAAAAAGCACTATATTGAGGCTGAGGTTGTGGCTCAGAGGTAGAGCACTCACCTAGCACGTGTGAGGCCCTGGGTTCCATCCTCAGCACCATATAAAAATAAATAAAGATATTGAGTCCAAAAAATTAAACAATAAGAAAACAAATAACCCAGTCAACAAATGGGTCAAGGATCTGAACAGACACTTC